ATGGTCCCTCAGGTAGTATAAGTATTAAGTAATGTCCAATTCTACGTGCTCCCATTAAACTACGTCAAGGTAGAATAACAATCGTAATCCAATCAATTAATCACAGTTGGTGGACCAAAATCTGAATTGTTTTTAAAAAAATTGATTCATTTAACTAATTCCTAATTCTGAATCGATCGCGTATGTCATATAATAAAAATTATATACAAAAAATCATTCAACGTTGCGGAAGGATATTTTGCATATATTTTTATATAAAAGTCCCGTATGGTACATGTAGGGAAAACAGTCCTAAATCCTTGTTTTGGCTCTACTAAAATCAAATTTTGGGGGAAAATGTATTTTAAAATAGTGATTTTTTGAAAGATATGTTGTTAATAAAATAAAGAAATATTTTGAATTTACGGGTAATATTATTTTATAAAGAATGTTTGATTAAAAAGAAAAGTGAGACATGCATTTTGATTTTAATTAAGGCCATATATGGGCTAACATTTAACTGGCACCACATATGATCAGAAGTTATTTCCGTTGGGATTATTCTTCTTGTACAAAATCACGTATACACGTACAAAATGGTTTACAAAATCTACAAGTGGCGCTCTCCCTATTGGAGGGGCAGCAATGGGGCCAGTCGCCAGGCTCCGTTATTTGAACAACCATTTTGAAAAAATCACTTAAATAATAGTTTCTGCTTAAAATTAAAAAAGGTAAGAAACATATAATTTAAGACAGAAACTGTCACAGAAAAACAAATTGAAACTAAACATGGAAAGAAAACAAGTTCCATGAAAGAGCAAGGCCACTGAATGACAAGAACTGGCCATCAGGGCTTCTCACTATACTATTCCAACATCACAAAGTATTAATATAAGAAAAATAAATAAAATTGAATTAAAAAAAAAAAAGAATCAATTTGCCTCTCCAAAACCCAAGTTAGAGCTTTAACGCATCTCTAAAATTTATGCTGAAACTCGTCTCTAGGCCCTTTTTACCAACGCCTATGATTGGATTCCCTTTTTGCATCATGGCAACAAACTCGTTGTAATCAATGCGTCCATCCTGTAAAAGCAGTTAAAGAAATCATTTTTTAAGCTCTAAATACAAACCACATCACACATAGAAGTATATAATAAGTGTAATTTAACTGTCTGTTTAATAATTTTGATTTTATTATGAAATGACAATGAGAATATCATCAAATGCAATGTTAGAAATTTCGTTTCAGTTCTTCTAAGATGTCAGGTATGTTACGCGGAAAGTTTAAGACCCAAGACTTGTTTTCTTTGATCAACATAACAAACTTGCCCCCTTCACCTTGCTCTTCTTAAAGTTGTAAAATGACCAACAATGTAATGCGGACGATAAATTTAACTCACATTGTCTTGGTCGACGTCTCGGATCATCTCTTCCATGCGAGATTCCTCTATGCCAAACTCCTCAAAGGCTTGTTGAAGCTCGTCTGGGGTGATATAGCCACTTCCATCTTTATCGAAGTATGAAAATGCAGCAAATAAATGATCCTCTCTCTCAATTTTATTTAGATGCAATGTTGCAGCAATGAACTCCCCATAATCAATTGTTCCACTGTTATCGACATCCGCCTGCAATTTTAGAAAGTGAAGTTGAGTGGGACAATTTAAACATATACCATTCTCTTGCTACTTTTTAACTACACGTTCTCCAAAAAAATCGCTTTTCACAAAATATATTCTCAAAATATCTAAAATGAACGGACCCTAATTATGTTAAAAGCAAATAAATTTGTGAAGATATGTTGCCTTCTCATATTTGTTAGCTCGAGTTCTTGACTTGGAGCGGTAATTGTTGGAGATATGCGGAGTCCAACATGGACTACATAAGGGGATAGTATTTGGTACAAAAGGGATTATTAATTCCTTCTTAGCATTTTAATCTTTCAGGATGGCAATTTGTAAGAGCCATGCCCCAAACCCATATGGATGTGTTACATGATTCCCTGGACGTGTGTGGAAAATCCTAATGAAGAAGTGGACCTTAGTCAATCACAATGACGAGATTAGCTTGGTGGAGATGATGTAGACCTCAATGCTCGTGTTATCTTCCTAGTTGAAAGAAGATGGTTGGAAGACGTCATCACAGGAGGGGCTGTGATGATCGTGTGTGGGTCATGATGACGTGGTTCTTCGCTCGAGGGAGAGTAGAAGGTGTCATGTGAAAAAGAAGTCCACATCGAGTAAACATGGGGAAACTTTTTGGTGGATAACGGCGTTTGGCTACTCCCAATATGTTAACCTTAATATATTAACCTTTTGGAATAAAACCCCATGCCGCTAGAGTTATTGAAGTTGAGTGTATACAAGGATCTTTCTAAAAAGGCGAGAAAATTTAGGGAGCCAATAACAGGTCTTGTGTAACAATGTAATACTATTTACACGTACCAGCTAAAGCATCCGAAAACAGCAAATGATCGAATACTTACTGCTTGCATTAGATCATAAATCTCGGATTCCTTAAGATT